TGTCGGAATCAAATAAATCAGATCGATATCTTCGATTCGTGCAAATTGATCGCCACTAGCGCACCTCATTAGAGCGCGATTGATTTTCAATCTCCCACAGGGAGAAAAAAAAAGTTTTGCCAGAATGAGCAAGAAATTAGTTACCGCCGTATAAACGGCGAGAAAAATTTGCTATTGAGACTTTTGTTTCGTCGATAAAAAACAAAAATTCAGTAGCTCGAATAAATTTTTCTTGCTGCCGCATAATAGGAAAACTTTTTTTTTCCCGTGCAAAGCGCATTACGTATTTAAATGAGCACGTAGGACGTGCGCAACCGCGGAAATGAATAATATTGCAAAAAGTGTGCGGCAATAACATTTGTGTAACTTTCGGTCCGGTCCGAAGTTAATTTTCCCTTGATAAAAATTTAGCGATATGAATCGGACTAATTACTTTCGTGCGATTAATTATTCCAATGATAATAAAATTACGACGAAACAAAATCAATTCGCGCGCGTAATATTATAATCCGTGAATATTAGATTCTCGATGAAATACACGTGTTTCAAATAAACGGTTTTTTTTTTTAAATCAATGATTGCGTGGAAGATTAATAAAAATTCTTCACACACACAAACCAAGATTACGTGCACGACAAATCGATACGCGCACGGAGAAAAGATTTTGCTATTGTACGGCAGGCAAAAAAAATTCGGTGTGAGTCCAGTGTGAAGTTTTGTTTTTTCATCAATCAAACGTTTCGTCGGCAAAACAAAAATCTCAAAAGGTAAATTTTTTTCGGCCAGCCACATAGTAACTAATTTCTCGCAAGTCTGATGACGAATCTTCTTTTTGTCCCGCGCGTACACAAAATCCTTTCTCGTGCCTTCAACAAAGGAGAAACTTTTCTTACGGAATATTTGCGAATTCATGAGAGTGACCCAACGAGGAAAAGGGAGATTGTGTTCCCACGTTAGCCGTCCCGATTTTTCAGCGGCACACGCGCTCGAGGCTTTTCAATTAAATTTTCATCTTCTCTCGGAATCAGCCGCGCGCGCGCGCGCGCTCTTATCCTCCAGTAGAGAAGCGCTTAATTGTCTCGCTTAATCGCTACAAAGGCGTGGATCATCGTAATATAGCTCTTGGTAATTTTATTATTATGCCCCAGCGCTACGCGCGCGTCGTTCTTTCTCTCGTCTCTTTCTTGGGATCGATAATTCATTGCTCCGATTCAACGCGCGATATAAATCGATCGCAGACGGATGTTGACTCGATTCATCGCAATCGCGATCTTCCGAGTTTTTTGTTTTTTTTTTTTTTACAATCGACGTCGACAAGCGCGCGCCAGACAAATTGGAATCGCGTTCGTTCTCTTCGGTCTTTTTTTTTTTTTTTCTATCTGTAACGATTTGACGCAAATAGACGAGCTTGTAAATTTTACGACGAAAAATACCGGAAAACACACGTATGTCCGACGTAATAAGCCGAGCTTGTTTCTCTCCCAGAGACGGAAGAGAGGCGAAGATTTCTCATAGAGAGAGAGACGTCGCGCGTCTTTCTCTCGTGAGCTGGACGTAAAGTTGGGAATCCTTGCCAAGAAAAATATCCCGCCCGCCGCTCATTTACTCGGTTTCATCTTCATTCGCGTTTCGCTGAAAGATCTATGACCGTGTGGCAGCAGCGCGGTATAAACTTACAGCGTTGTGTTTCCACGAAATTGAAAATCCAATATATTCCAGGATTTCCAAAATAATATCAACGACGCGAAATAAACGTTGCTTTATAATGCAAGATTTTTTTTTCATCGAGATAAAACCTTTGCAGAAACGAATCAGAACGTTATCGCTTCGCAATAATTGTCGATATGACATTGTGTTAAAAATGTCGAAAGTTATCGCCCGATAATTTGTGCTGTATCGAAACACATAACGAAATTTTGATCGGTGAAAAAAAAAAATCAAAACTGTCCCGATCGCGTCGGACGTGTAACTAACAATTTATTTTTGCAAATCCTAAAGCTGTTCAGTTTTCGCGGCGGTGAGAGAAAAGAGAGCAGTGCAGGAGGGACAGGAGGGACGCTCGCGCGCGCACGTGTGTCGCAATGTCCCTTAACGACTAACGGCTGCTGGAGAACCGGTCGACCTCGATACACCTCGAAGCCCGGCTCTCCTGCTGCACGTATTACAACGCCGAGGTAATGTACGTGTATTTCTCTTCCCTCCTCCCCATCCCTACCTCCTCCCTCTCCTCCGCACGATACATATGCATCGTGCACGAGCGCTGGATTTTGCACAATCGCCGACGCCGCCGACGTCGCGCTCACGAAGTTGAAACTTATACCGTAGAAAATCGGTTTTGTCGTGCCTCGTTTAAACAGCAAATCCCACGTTTTTGCGCGACACGTTCGCTGCTGCCGCCGTAACATTTTTGCTATTGCCACGCGTGACATCGATGCATTTTTTAAATTATTCAGCAGAACGCGTGAACGACGTGTGATATCGACAAACTTCAAATAATCTTGCAATATAATTTTTTTTGCAACGATAATACGCCATTTTGTTTACACGGAAAATGTATTTTTTTTTTTTTTTTTTTTTATAATCACAATTTATTTCATGAATTTTAGTTTAGACTCGGATTTTAAATTTCGACGATTTTACACACAACTTGACTGAAAACGCTCCAAATAAATTAGATTACAAAATTTTTCACATGTTGTTTTAAACTTCTTCTGGAAATAAAATTTACGTGTTTCAAACCGCTCCTTTTGTGTGGAGATAATTGCACTTGCGCGCGCGTATTCGCGCGACATGTTGATGTCGAACACATCACCACTACATCTACAGCGGTGGTGTAAAGTACCTACACGTCGATACGTTCGGCGGATCAATTTACCTGTTCCGAGTGTGTTTCACAACGAGGCTTATCGAGTCGTTGCCGAAGCGAGCGTGCGCAAATACCGTCGACAAATCCGATGGCCATTAGCGCCATTAAAATCTTGTTTAGTTGCGTCAGAGTTCGAGCGGATTTATCACGCGGTTGCTGTCGCAGTGACATTTGTCCGCCGCTTTAAATTATTTGATACGCGGCGTGTTTTTTTTTGTTTTTGTTTTTTTCAAGACCCATAAGATGGAGATTCTCGTTTCCACGAGTGTAATTAATTTATTTACTCTTTACGCAACGTTCTGTAACTTTACACGAAACTGATATAATCGCGCAAAAATATTTTCCCGTTATCACGTCGCAACGCTCAATAAAAAAGTGTTCAGTCGACTTTTCGATCGGTTCTCTTCTTAAATGATGAAAAATCTCGTTTAAAAAAAAAAATGTGCAATCGGGCGAAATGTTTTATCCGAGTAGATTTGTTTTTTCGAAAATTCGATTCAATCACATCTATCAGCTGAGACAAAAAAAAATCGCGATTTCTTATTAAGCCGATTGAGAATCCGCGTGTGCAAGAGAAACGCAAATCTCCTCGCAAACCCGATTAAAATTTGCAATTTTAATTTAATCCCGACATCTCCGTTACGCGACAATTTCCGATTGGCGTGCGTGAGACGTGAGTTTCGCGTGATTCTGACCGGCGCAGCCCAAATTAGGCGCGCGCAAACATACTGCCGATAATCGCAGCGGACAGAAGCGTACACTAACGGTACATACGGCGATTTAGCCGAATGATTCAACCCCAATTGGTTCCTGAAGCGTGTCGCGGCGGCCGACAATATCGTCGATCGGTCCTCTCTGTGTCGCAAACCGCAGCAGAGAGTTTCGCAGGCGATTAGCAAAGAGCACAGGCGGCTCGCGCTACAATCGTTTTGCGGCTACTTCGTTCGTGAAAGTAACGGGCCACGCGCGCGTTTATATTTTTCAATGCAACTGCCGCACGCACGCGCGCGCACACACACACACACACACGTTCCCGAGCGGGCCGAGTTTATGATTTTGCTTAATTAATGGTCTCCTCTCGTCGGACTATCGCCCCCTGCATCCCTCCACCTGCTCCCTCCTCCTCCCGTTTGCCGCTACCAGCAGCGGTGGCGGCTTGGCGGCCATTAGTCCGCGCGGATTGCGCAATTTCGGGAAATTGCGAAGTAATTCGCGGTTGCGGCCACTCTCGACGCAGAGGCGGCGACGGGGCAGCTACCAGGGTGAAGCGAGGGGTTAGCCCGGGGAAGAGGGGGGACGCAGAAAAGGATTCGTGGATTCTGCGAAAGGACGGTCTGATCCACGGATGACGGTTGCTTCTTCTCGCCGTGATCAATTCGGCGAAGAAGCAAAAAAGGAGGAAAGATTACGAGAGGAGCTATTACACCGGACACACGCGGTTTTAAAACGAAATTCCCGGCGGAATTCTGCGAACGCGTCCCTCAATTCGGACGGAAGCGCGCGCGCACGCACGCACGCACGCACGCACGTACGCGCACACACGCCGGGTTTTGTATCTTAAAGAAATGTTTGCGTCATGGGAATGATAGAAAAAAAACATTAAACATGTGATTGAAGAACTCGCTCGAATGATAATTTTAGGAATGTAATGTAAATAAAAAAACTGCGAAATTAAAACGACACAGTATACAAAGTGCTGCTCGAACATTGAATTCTAGAAGAAATTGTCAAGAAAGAGAGAAAGAAACGTTTTCTCTCGCGCTGCGAATTTTCACGTAGACGCAAAAATTGTTATTGTCTTGTAGCCGCGGCCGTAGCCGATTCGTTTCATCCTTCCACCGTTATAATTGCGTTATACATTACCCGGTAGGGCTTACAACAACAAGCCGCGCGCTCGTTACACCATCACCACGCATTACCCATATACCGTGTCTAAGTAAGAAATTAGATACAGAAAAAGAGATAGAAAAGAGAAACAACAGGAGAGAGTAACAACTTAAGTCCGAGAGAGAGAAAAAGAGAGAAAGAAGAGAGAGAGAAAGAAAGAAAGAGAGAAAAAACAGGAAGACGACCGAAGCGGACCGTCTGAAAAGAAAAACCAGAGAAAAAATAAAAAAAGAAATGTCTACGATACCGATGCTATTCTGAGTACTGAGTTCCCAGTCTTTCATGAGGATTTCTCGGGCAGGTCAGGATGACGGCGACGTGGGTGCACCTATAATGCAGACAGTGATCGTCACATACAGGCCAGCGTGTAAATATACATATCGTATATTATGCGAAAGTTCGCCTAAAAATACACCTAATGTATTACATCTAAAACAATTATATATTTAAACAATTATGACTTAAGGCTCGTGAAATTACCAACAAGATATGTATAAGGCCTTACGAGCCATTCTCAAGATGTTTTTGAGTAGAAACTTGTACGTGTATATATATACATACACATGTAACGAATTCAACTTGTAAATTTTTACAAGTGCCATGGCACGGAAAGCCGGAGATTCCAGGTTCGACTCCTGGCCGAGGAGTTTTTTTCGCAAAATTTTAAAATTAGTTAGGAGGGTATCCGGGGTCTGTCATATGTGAGATGCAAATCTGGCATCCCGTATGATTTTAAGAATTGAGTTTTCAACTCAAAAAACACTTACTTGTAAAAATTTACAAATTGAATTCGTTACATGTGTATGTATACAGGGTGTCCCAGAATTGGTTTAACATCTCTCGTAGGCAGGTAGAAGAAATAAAACTGAGTCGAAAAGTCCTGAACCATTTTTTTCTATTATTTATAATAAAGGAGTAATTATTGAGTAAAGCGGGCCAATCAGCGCAGACCTTTAGCCACGCGCACGTCAGTGAGCCGCGCGCCTGGTGTTTGTGAGCGCTCACTGACGTGCGCCTGGCTAAAGATCGGCGCTGATTGGCCTGATTTACTCAATAATTACTCCTTTATTATAAATAATAGAAAAAAATGGTTCAGGACTTTTTGACTCAGTTTTATTCCTTCTATCTGCCTACGAGAGATTGTACGGCTATTCTGGGACACCCTGTATATATACACGTACAAGTTTCTACTCAAAAACATCTTGAGAATGGCTCGTAAGGCCTTATACATATCTTGTTGGTAATTATATATTTGTTTTTTTTTGTTTTTAAACAACCGGTGCCGAAGCAGCACCGTATGTAAAAATCGTTCACATTTCAATCTCTTAGGTATGAACTTATTGCCATCATAAATTCACAGATTTGTTTGGTAATTGGTAAATAATTACGTGCGAGGTAAATGCTTTTTCTTTGCGCATTATCGCGGATCTCGCATTTCTTCTCAAAGTAACGCGAAAAAATCGCTTGCGCGAAATCAGAGACTTTTCTCTGCAAAAAAAAAAACGAAAAACACAAAAGCTCGACTTACGATCGAAGCGAAGCGCGACAAGACTAGCATGTCTAGCGTAGAAGTTTTTCCTTCGAAAAGACCGGACGTCCTGACTTTCACACGTGCAACACGTTTCTTGCGATGTGAAATCGGCGCGTTACAAGTTGCGAAGTAACCGGGCGATTCGCGGTTACGCTCGCGAGTAGTAGCTTCGGAAAGCGTGGAGAGCGCGTGTGCGCTATTCCGGTTAAATAACGCGATTCGATTTTACACACGTATTATATAACGAATTTTCACATAAAAAAAAAAAAAAGAGAAAAACTGGCTACACTGCAATCGCTGACATTTGCCATTTGTAGATAAAAAAAAAAATATTCCATCTCTCGCGCAAATTATCGCTTCGCCGCGCGGGAACAAACACATTTTTATTATACAAATTGGAATAACTCAAATTGCGCGATTGATCTTCGACAATTTTCCACCTTTACAGCGCGCGCGCGCACGCGCGCGCGAATCCGCGCTTTAAAGCAAACAGCGCGAAATAATTTATATTGCTTTGACGAATTTGTCGAAAAATATTCAGAAATAGAGCATGCGGAATTGCTGCAATTTGAGTTTCCGCCCTCCCATTCGAAAACGGCGCATAACAAATAGTTGATTTTTTTTTCTGCGATACACCTTTTTCGTGTGTGTACGTGCGCGTTGCACACGGTATCGAAAATATTTCTAAATCAGAAGCATTCCGCGAATGCGCGTCAGTTTTCGTTTATTTCAATGCGCTGATTGCTTTCCCGAGTGTGTATGTGTGTTTTCCGCACACACGAAATGTCTAGAATATTCGCGAACAGGATCCGGGAGGATAATATAAACCGTAGCCGTGTATTTGTTGTAAACAAATACCGCGCTTTGTAAAGAAACAATCGCGTCACAACACGACCAAATTCGGTTAATTACTAGGCGGAGATTAATTCACGTGATTTCATTATCGCGCATTAATTTCCGTTTGTAATGCAACTTAGCAATTATGACGACCGCCCGACCGACCGAAATTGTGGTGTCGCGCGCACCAGGAGGAGGTTTTTCCGCGGATAAACGCGAATTCATCGGCGGCGGCGGCGGCGGCGTAATGTCCGGACAAGTTGTCTCACCGCAACCGGCGGCGCGTCGAAGTTTGTAGTTTATTTGCGAAAACGGGAAAAGCCGCGCGGAAGAACGAGAAAAAACCTACGAGACCTACGGTGAAAATATGTGTGAGGGGAAGAAAAAAGCGAGAGAGAGCGCCGCCGCAAGAGCGCCGAAAGGTTTATTTGTTTCGTTTAATAACTCGGGCGTCTTTTTTTTGCTCGTCTTTCGTTGCAAACCTCGCTGTGCCATCCTTCGTGTGCCATCTTTCTGCGCGCGAATTTTTTTCCTATGTCAGAAAAATGAACGACGTTGATAAGAATCTTTCCGAACTTAAATATTTTGCACGCCGGAAACCTGAAAAAGTTCCGCAAAAATTACACAAGTCCGAAACAATTCAAAAGCCTCTAATTTACTACTTTTTGCAGCTTTCGCGCAAAAGTGTTCAAATAAAATTTCAGAATAACAAACAAGATTTCCGCCTGTCTACGCGAAACGTGTCGAACGTGACAAAAAAAAAACACCGTAACAGTATTTACATAATATACCGTTTTATTTTATTTTTTTTTCACATCCGTTTTTCTTATCGCACGTGTGGCACGAAAATTACTGAGAGATGCGCGGTTCGGTTTTTCCTCTTTTCTTTTATTTCCTTGCTTTTGTTCCGAAAGTGGAGTATCTCGTAATATGCGCGTCGGCACACACGGCGCGTGGTTTTTTTTTTGGTTTTTTTTTTTTTTTTTTTGGTTTTTAACTGCTGCTCACAAAAATCCACGCAACAAGACGAAGTTTCTACGAGCGTATAAAGCCCGTGTGTTCCTCGCGAAAGAATGCGAGGTCCCAAGGAACGCTTCTCCTCTCCTATGCGGAAAGGAATCTCGAGGGTGAAGCGCGCCCGAGGCATCATCCGACATCGGGAACGACGACGACGACGACGCCCGCGGCATCAGGAAGCTAAGTGCACCTGCGCATATTCGTGCATACGTGCACGCACGCGAGCTTCCTTAAACCGTATAATCCCGGGAATGTATTGGGTCAACAAAGAAGAGCCGCGCGGAGAGCAGGAGGAAGGGAGAGAGAGAGATATCGGATTGCTCGTGTAAACTATCGCGTGAAGCATATCGCGCGGCGCTTGCAAATCCGCGCGTATTTATCATCTCCCCGCGTATTTGATTGAAGGAGCACAATGAGGTTAATAACGCGTCGCATCGCGATATTATGGCTCTTTGCATAAATTTGAATATCGCTCGACGCACCGCGCGCCGTCGCAGTCGGGAAACTTTCAGAGACCGGCTGCGGATCTCTCTCTCTCTCTCCCTCGCAGGATCGTTCCAGGATTTTTGTTTTGTTTTTGTCTAAACGATCGCGTTTCACTTTGTTGCTCCAAGATTTTTGGCATTCCGTTCCGGAACGCCAAATAACTTGGTGCACATCAATGGGAAGGAGAAAAAAAATCGTTGCGTTGTTTAAAATAAACTCCGCGCTCGCCGAGATCAGAGATTCCGTGTTGTCAATTTTTATTGTCAAATCGATCGTTGTGAGATCCGAACCGAGTTCGAGAGATCGAAGACCGAGAGAGCAGCCTCTCTCGTGATCGCCATTAGCGAGCTACACGTTTGCACACCTGTATAACGACTTGTATAACGGAGAGTGCAACGCGGGCATTCATTACACGCCACTCGCTACTACCTCAGCTTACATCCACGTGAACTACCTCCAGAGAGAGGCAGCAGTCAAGAAGCGTTCCGTGTCTTGAACACGACCTCCATTAGCCTTTCTCGATCAGGCCGCTAATTAGTCGGCATCGAGGAGTGAGTCGCACAGCATCTCTTTCTCCCGCGTGTCTCTCTTTACGTTCCTCTTCGGCATTCCTCGCGAAACGTTAGAACTTCGGCGTGTCTCACGTTGGCACCCGCGAACGTGATGTTCGCGAAAGATACAAAATTTACGAAGAGTATTTGAAAAAATTGCAAATTTTAAACAAACAAGAATTAAACTGTTGCGTCAAACTTGTTTGCTTCTTAGTCTCCGGGCGAGTTTGTTAAAAAAATAAATAAAGAGCAATGTTTAAATTCTCTCGAGATAACGATTTCTTTCCGATCTTTGACTGAGATGTGCACAGCGAGACGTACCGAGACGACGATCGAGGAGATGATCTTTTGTCTTCGCCGGAACAATCAGTCGCCGCGTTCCGTTCTCCGCGAATAAACCGTTAATCGTTTGACGTAACCGGCGGCACAGGAGCTGCTTCGTCGGTTCCCGCGGCACACGGAGGAGAGGGGAGGAGGAGAGGCACGACGGCCCAGGATTTCAGGTGGCCGGCGGTATCGCGAAACAACGTGGAATGGCGGAGAGCAATGGATAACCAGCGCGCAATTAACACAGCAGAAGCCTCCGCTTGATTTTACACGAGCCGCCCGCGGTAACCACCCCGTCCACCTCCTCTTCATCACGGTAATCCACCCCTCTCCGCCTCCTCTTCCCGCGCACCACCGCCACGGCGGCGGCCCCCGAGCTCTCGGCGCCCGAGCCCGGTGAACGTGCGGACGGGAAGCGCGCGGCGCGCATTTAATTTGCAAATGCAGATTGCTTTCCATTTTAATATAAATTGTTCGAAACAAAGGGAGTAATTATGCCGTGCTCACGCGCTTTCAAAATGGCGGGGGCGCTCGTTACCACCTCACTCTCTCACTCTCTCTCTCTCTCTCTCGCCGCTC